TCCAGCAATAAAGCTGCTTTTCCAGTTTAAATCTCGTCTCCAAAGAGTCCTGCATTTTGGGTCCACCACTCCTGCCTGCCACACGGCCAACCATGACAACTATTGTGGGACTGTCGTTTCATTTGCGGCCCTTCACTTACTTTCACCACAGCACTCATCTAAAGCCTAAACTTTTCAGTCTGAAGGAAGAAAATTTGAGTTTAAAATGATCAGAAATGTGTGGGAGAGAGAAAATATCTCTCTGTTGCCACTCGAGTTTTACCCTTGCTGACACAAACCCAAAGGGTATTTGTGTCTCCAGCTGGAATCAAACCAGCAACCTTTTACTTGCCAATTAAATGTGTTAAGAGCTACACCATCAGCGTCACACAGTGGTGAAAACTCTTGGGAAGTTTGTCTTTTTAATTCAGATTATTGAAGAATTTGTTATAAGGTAAAACAAAAGAGCAGCAAAATAATAAAATCATAATATATTTTTATATAAAGCTGTTTTTTTCCCTCTCATTTATGTCCAGGTGAAAAAATCGACACTTGACAGTTGGCTTGTTGCCGTTTCAATTACACTCTAACACCTTTTTTGGCTTGATTCTGTTTTTTTAAATTAATTAATAACTTCAGCCTCTATGCTGTGCTTTATTTTTATAATCTTGACTTGTAGCTTGTTAAGTTTCCTTAAAAAGATTTCTTTGTGAAGTAAAAGAAGCTGGGAAGCTAGTTAGCGGTGATGTGTTAGAGGTGTGCGTTTGTTTTTGGACTAATTTGTGTCTGTGTGTTTCCTCTGTGTCATGTATGATCTGTGTGGTTGCTTTAATGATATTCTTCTTCTCCTCCTTCTTGCGTGCGTGTGCTTCAGTGTCGGATGGCGAGCACACCACGCCCGAGCTGGACTTTGCTGTCCTGCTGCTGACAAACCACCAGCAGCCGCCGGTGTTTCAGGTTCTGGACCCGCTGCTGGAGGTCAGCGTCAGAGGACAAGCTGCCATCGGTAAGATTATATAAACGCAAAAACAGGCTCGTACAAAAACTATTTAAGAAGAGAACTTGTTTGAGGGCCGGCTGTTCATGCTTCTAACTCTTCTCCATTTCTGTGGCGCATGCAGGCGGTCAGCAGCTGGCCGTGAGCGACGTTGACACGGCTCCAGATGAGCTGGAGTTCGAGGTGGTAGAAGCTCCCGTCCACGGAGAGCTGATAAAGACTGACGGCAACACAAAGATTCGCATGACTAATGGTAAAGTACAACACTGACACTGCTGGGACCAGAGGAACAGGATGGATGAATTTAGTTTTTAAACTTTTTGAAGGATCTGTAAATTATATCATTTGATGTTTAGCTAATAGATTTTAACACTGCATAGTCACATGAGGCTGGCTCGTAGGGCTCGTGTCATTTTTATTGTTACTTTAGTCTCAGCTTGAGTTGAACTGCACACCAGCTTTAGAGTTAATGTGAAACAGAAGCTTGGCCACCCGCTTAAGAGGAAAGAATATTTTTATGGCCTCAAAAATTTAGTTATTGTCAGTTTTTTTTGTCCTCACGTCTTCTTTTTCCCTGCTTGTATAACCGCGTCTCTGGTGGAAAGGTAACAGAAAAGCAGGAGGACTAAAATCCACACATGAAACTACAGTTGTAACATCCACATTTCCTCCGTCTTTTCAGGTGACACCTTCACTTTCAGCGACGTCACCCGCAATGTCCTGCTCTACCACCACTCCGGGCTCTCCACCCAAGATGATGCCATCACCTTCTCAGTTAGCGACGGTATCTCCATGGCTGCCACAGTAGTGCAGGTGGTGGTTTTAGGCGCTGGAGGCAGCGGGCCACAGCAGGACCCCATCGCCACGCTCTCGCTGGAAGTGGGCGAGAAAAGCAGCACCGTCATCAGACGCTCACACCTGGCGTACACGGTGAGTTAGGAGAGCTGCGTGCCAGTGAGAGTGTTTAGTGTTTGAATTACGCTGAGCTTTGGGTTTTTTTTTTTTTTTGACACTTTTTATTTATTTATTTAGGAACATTTTTATGCAACAAGATAAAAGAAAAAGAAAAGAAAAAAACAAACAATATGAGGTCATGGGAAGATAACATACGCCCGTACATACATCTGCACATCCACATATACATACTTCAGCAAGTCTGCATTACTAATTCTACGCATTAAAGGGTGCTGCCACAAGCTGTAAAGTCCAGCCATTTTCTCCATCGTCTCCTTCCCAAATCTCCCTGCAGTCGCAGAGTGAAAGTCATACATTCCATCAATTTGACGTCTTCCACTATAGAGGTAAAAAGTGTTACTGTGGGAGGGTCTCTACAGAGCCAGCGTTTTGTTATGGCCTTCTTTGCAGAAGCCAAGAGAACTTTCAGAAGATAAACATCATCTGCAACTAAATCGTCTGTAAAATATCCCAGATACAATGAGGTAAATGTACAAGACACGTGGAATCCCAACACCTCTGTAATTATCTTTACAACTTCCGTCCAGAAGGGTCGTATGAGTGGGCAGGACCAGAATATATGACCGTAATCAGCCATGTCTTCCCCACAATTCCTCCAGCAAAACGCAGGCGTGGCACTGAATTTAGACTTCTGTTTAGGCGTTATGAAATAGCGTATAATGTTCTTCCAGCAGAAGTCCCGCCACATGTTGGAGTTAGTTGTGGTAAACTGTGTCTCCCAGATCCGTGCCCACCCATCTTCTGTAATCACAATGTCCATTTCTTTTTCCCATTTCTGCTTTATGTAAATCGTTGAGTTCCCTTTGAGTTTAGTCATACATTTGTACAATTTACTTATCAAGGCCCTGTTACTCCCAGAGTCATAAGCATCAATGAAAATATTAACAATCGAGAAGTCTCCACGGACACAGCTCTTTAGTCTTTTGCCAATATAGTCACGGAGTTGCAAGCTGAGCTTTGGTTTATGTGTTACGCAAGTGTCACGGGGTCTTGTGTGGAAAAGAGAGGTTGTGCAGGCAGATTCAGAAAGATATAATATTAAAAAGAAAGACATGGTGTATAGAAGAAGAAGAAGGAGAAGAATACATATGGTGATGCAGAAAAGTGGAAAAGAAGCAAAACACGAAGCATGACTAAAAAAGGATTTAAAAACACCAAACATGCATGAAAATCCACAGTAGGATCTGATAATGGGCTGTCCCCGGGCTGTGTCGCGTCCTGGTTTGGACTCGGCGGTCGGAGCTGATCACACCCACTCGAAACTATGCTCGCACTTCTGTGAGACATGAGCCAGCAAATGCATATTGCACGATCTATGGTTCGAATAGATGATTTTAGGGCCTTTCCAGGCCTGTTTGCTGCTTCTGTGGCCTGGTGCTATCTTTCAAAGTCCAGCTGTCCATCCCTATATCAGCCCTAGAATAGACAAGCATAGGCACTCAATGATGGAGAGACATATTCAGCTTATTTTCAGCTCCATATTTTTATTGGAGAAACTTTGCATCGTTCACAGTTTAAAATCATCTTCATTTATCTTGCTAGTACATGCCTGTGCTGCAGTATGGTTTGATGTGGTTGCATAGAGAAAAATAAAAAATATAGGTGAGTGTTGCTGTATATATAAATAAAGAATACACTTATGCGTTTTTCTTAGTTTAAAAACAATCAGCCAATTTGTGTGTCTCTCTTGCAAGGCTGAGGTTTGCTGTACTATACAAATGTCACTGTAGTTCATTGCTAAGTGGTTGCCAGGCAACATGAAGGCCTTATATCATTTTGTGGCGGGGCGTGGCCTGCGGTGCCGTGCAGAGGAGGCGGGCGCACCTGTACGGCATCCGCAATCACGCCCTGCCGACTTAAATATTGTACTGGGTCCTGTGGTGGTTGTTGTTGTTGTTGTTGTTGTTGTTGTGTTGAGCTGGCAGCGGGAGAGCTGCAGCTCTATGAACATTGTGAACAGCAACCGTGTGAACCAATAAAGTATGCTGCGAAGCATGAATTTGCACCCGGGTCTGCCGTGTATGTTTACACATTTATCTCATAACATTCCAGTTTTGTGGAAATAAATGAGATGCATGTGAAATTAAAATATGAAGCCCTTATAAAGCTACAAGCTGATGGACAAATCGATGATTTTATAATGTGTGATATAGATAAGAATCTTCAGGGGCCTGAGATGTACCTGAGTGTTAGTCAATCCACTGACTGAAACAAGCTGTAAACGCCGTCTTCCTTTAAAGCTACAAGTCAGCTTTGATGTGACTGGGTGACCCTTATTTAATAAACAGAGCCAAGTTCTTGTTGACGCCTACAGTATAGGTAAGGTTAGTTTTCTTTAGCAGGCTACCAAAAAATTACTAATCCCAAAACCAAACCTGGATATATTAGAGAGAACCCATGTCTGTACTCCAACTTCCTCGTGCGGTCCAATGACATGCATGGGGTGAGATCACAGCAGATGGTGATTCTAAATTACCAGCATGTGTGAATAGTTGTCTATCTTTATGTGATAACCCTGTAAAAGATTGGTGAAGGGAAGGCTCCAACCTCCCAGGTACCCTGAATTGGATAAGCAGAGGATGGATGCGCAACACCATCCAAGGGCCGGGGGTGACCGGAGGAAGATAGGCAATGTTTTCTACGTTGTATCCTATGTATGTGACATGAGGGAAATCCAAAAACTGGAGAGTAGTAAGAGAGTGAACGGGAGGTGCTGTGCTCGTCAAAATATCAGAATAGTTCCTTGTTATCCTCATTTTACAGCGCAGAATAATTTGTGAATAAAGAGTTGTACAGTATCACTAAAGTCCGTTTGGTCCCTCAGGATGACTCATCTCCAGATGACCAGATTCGACTCCAGCTGGTGTCGGTGCCAATGTACGGCATCCTGACCAGGAGCCAGTCCCAGCAGGAGCACCAGGAGCTGAGGGAGTACTCCACCTTCACAATGGAGGACATCAATAAGCACAGGATCAGGTATGGGTAGCAACAGCTACTCAGTGGGACTAGTTAAGACGTTTAAAATCCTCCAGACAACGAGGACAGCATTGAGTAAATTATTTAGTTTGTTGCAATGGTTTTTATGTGACCTGTGAAGCACTTTACCCCACCTCAAAGACACGGGTGTTTAATTACGTCTTTCTGTGAAGGTTTAAATGTTTCTTCAGAGACTTACAAAACTGTAATATCAGTATAACATCTGCACTTTAACTAAAAATGACTTTGAAAAACCCTCGGTTGTCCCCAGAAGCAGTCAGTGAAAATGCGATAAAGATTCACAAAGCTCGATGGGAGTCTACAAAAAATTTTAATATTTTTATTAACAGCTGCCTCACAGCGACAACGTTTGAGTGACTAAGAGTAGTTATATGTAAAAGCTGAGGTCTTATCACCTTCACCTGCAGGCCTGCTGTGGTTTCATCTATTTTTATTGGGTTGAGTCAGTTTTTTTAAATGTGGCACATTAAAAACAACATGGAGTGAGGTAATATCTGTTCATCTAGTATACACAAGCACACACGTTTCCAAAAATCTAAGTAACATCAATAAGTAGTGCAAAAGAGTATGAGAGAAGTAGAAAACATGGAAAGGATAAACATAAATGAAATGAAAGAAAAACATATTTTAAAAAAAGAAAGCAAAAATGACAACAATAAGAAAAATAAATAGATGCTTAGACTGGTTTTCAATAGCAGGCAGGATTTGCATTCTCGAACAAGCAGTGGCTCAGAGCACCGTGCAGCTCTGAGCCACTTGGGTCCGGACTTACTTAGGCTACGTTCACACTGCAGGTCTTAATGCTCAATTCCAATTTTTTGATCAAATCCGATTTTTTTGTCTGCTCGTTCACACTACAAATAAAATGCAACAGCAAACGTGCTCTAGTGTGAACGCTCAAAGCGGCCCGCATGCGCAAAAGAAGATGTCACACACAACGCGCTCTGTTTAGACCCAGAGCAACAGTATTGTTTGACTGATGGCCCTTAATATAAAGACTTCGGACTTCACGTTTCCCAATTTTGCTTTAAGTTATTTTGTTATTTACATAATAATGTAAATAACCTAATAATGATCCTTATTGCTGTTTTAGAGCAGCGCTGCTTCAAAGGATAGTTGCAGATTTCTGTCAGAATCTGCAGATTATACAGTACAAATAAAATGTTCACGTTTCTCCAACGTTGTCTTCCCAGCAGTTTCACCAGATGGCCAGGAAGCGTTCGTGATGTCTCATCGGGTGCTTCTCCGGCGCTGATAATTGCTGTCTGTCTTGTGTCAGTGACGTAAAAGACGGATTTAATGCGACTTGACCGTTCAAACAGCAGTCGCTTTCTAAAACATCAGATATGTATCGGATTCAGTACCACATACGAAAGTGACCCAGATCGGATTTGAAAATATCGGATTTGTGCCGTTCACACTGTCATACCATGATCAGATATGGGTCGCATAGGGTCAAAAAAATCGGATTTGATGCGCTTTCGCCTGCAGTGTGAACGTAGCCTTAGATGCCTCGGAGTTGAGGTGTTATGGGTTCAACCAGAAGGCAAGCATGGGGCAGACACAGGACATGCTGGGGAGAAAAAGTCTTTCTGCCAGTTGGGAACATTTTGGTGTCGCCCTGGAAGTGCTGGAGGTGGTGGCATTGGACAGTGAGGCATCTGCATCACTCGTTGGACTGCTAAGCTGGATAAGCAGTAGAAAGTTGACGGGTTGTGGGTAGAAAAAATTTAAAGAAATAAAGAAAAAGCTTATAGCCTTTTGGTTTTTAGGTGAGAGAAGGACCCAAACGTGAAATGTGGAATATGTAACATGTTGTGGAGGAAAATTTAAAATATAAGACCCGTTTGAAGTAAAGTAGTTTTTCCAGGATGAGAAGCAACCCTGGGATTTTGCAGGGTTTTTAAGCCTCTAATAAAGAGGCAGCTGTAGAGGAATAGCCTGGTGTCGAGACCACTCTGTGCGATAAAACACCGTCTCGGGTTCTTCAGTCTGCAGTCGTACTCACGATCAATTTCTCTGACTGCAGCTCGAGTCAGCAGGAATCACTTTCCCTGTCAGCTTCAAGCTGCAGAAGACGCTGTAACAGCTTGCAGATCCATTTTGCTTTCCTTTAATCCTAATGTTTCTTCTCATGAAATGAGAGCTCCACAGACATTAACCAAAACCCGGTAAGAAAACAAACGTAGTCTTTCTCCCGTTGCGTTCAATGAATCAGCCTGTTGGCATTAGCAAAGCCAATTAACTTAGCTCTGATTGTACCTGCAAGTGGTAGTAAGGCCTCCTATGAGAGGCACTAAAATAAAGCATAAATATTCACGTACTAGCTATTTCATTTCCATAACGCAGCCCCTGATTAGCTGCGGCACGGGCCGATCTCTGGGGGCGAACTTCAAACCGGCTGTATTAGTTTTGTCTCTTTGGTGCTGGCTCTTACAAACAAGAGCTGGGAATTGTTTTAAAAGAATTGAATGGGATTAGAGGAGATTACACTGGCATGGCTTTCAGTTTTATTAGTGCTCTGCAGAGATTAGCAGCTGTATCAGTGTGAGAGGGCTAAAGCGAATCTGTGCTAAGTCCTCTATCAATCCACGACTTAACACATAAACAGATAATTATGCACCCATTAAAAGAGAATTATTGTATCAGACAAAATTATTATTAAACACACACTTAAAAGATTAAGAAACCTTTTTCAAGAGTTTTTGTAAATGTCAGAGATTTCGATTTAAAGTCTAGCAGCATTTGAGTGATTCTCTGAGGGAGGCTTTTCTTATCATTGGAATGGAAAAATAAGACTTTTGTTTTTTTGTTTGGCTTCAGGTCTTTTTTCCCTAGTATTAGCTCAACTGTTCATCATATATATAAGTTTTTGGTTTTTTTTTTTTTTTTTTTAGATTTATGGCCTAATCTTTATTCCTGTCCTCATCTATGAGGTAGAGCTGTGTATTGTGACCAAATGGCTGCAGTTTCAGATACAGGCAGTGGAAATGATCTTCCTCTAAAGGGCGTCTGGGCTCAGCCTTGGGGCAGTAGGATGGGGAGATTAGTAATTCAAGAAGAGCTCAGAGTTGCAGTGCTGCTACTTCACAATAAAAGGAGCAAGTTGAATTCAGCACCTGACCAGGATGCCTCCTTGAAGCCTCCTACTTGAGGCTCAGAAGAGAGATTTTGTCTCTTGGCTTGTCTGGAAACGCCTCAGTGTCCTCCAGAAGAACTAGAGGCGAAGGCTTTTTGCCTCATTAGTAAATCTGGCCATGTGTCTCTCAGCTAAAGGCTAGAGAGCAGGAAGTTGGTGCATCTGTGCAACCCAGACCTGGATAAGAAAATGGAAGGATAAATGAAGAAAATAGAAACTGTGATTAAAACAGGTTTCCATCTGCAGGTACATCACTTCAATAGAGACAGGAAGTCAGCCAGTGACTGATATCTTCCACTTTGTTGTTTATGATGGAGACAACAATCGCCTTGACACCCAGATATGCACCATCACCATCACCTCCGCACCAAGACAGCCGCCACTGGTCACTGTCCGCAGCAGCATCAAGGTACGCACACGCTATGTCCTGCATACAAATGTGCAAGTAAGAATCTTACACACTTTAACCCTTTAAAACCGGTGGGAGCGGGCACGCTCTGTTTTGCTAACTATTTTTAAATCCCGGTAGCACTGCAACCATGTGAGCTAGCGCAATAATTGTTTTTGCATATGAAACCGGAGGAGTTGTACTTACATCTTATGCCATCAGCTTGTCCTCGGTCACAGTTTCCTTCCACATATAG